GTGGTCTGGATATATATATATATAAATTTCGTAATTCTAAACAAGCCTAAAAATCTTTTTAAGATATTTATTTTTCTTGTGTCATTATAAGCTTCGTAGTTATGGAGAACTCGTGAAAATGATCAAAGTCTTCACATTTTTGAAACCTAAATAGGCTAATGTCGAAGCGCTCGACTCCAATGTACTAGAATTCGAGAAAATATTATTTTTATCGTCTGGGCATGCGCATGACGGTGTGGATCGTACCATGTCGTACTTTCAGTCGAACTTTTTGTAAATAGTACTTCAGAAATGGAGTAAATATCCTCTAAGAATGGCGCCACGGAGCAAAAGCTGAGTTTTGCGCCACGGAGCAAATGTTATCTGGCATGTTTTTACACCTCATAACTAATATAATTATTATTATAAAATGTGAAAATAAAAAAAATAAAAAAAATAAACTATTTTGTAATTAATTATGAGCTGCATAATTAGATCAATTTTTTTTAAAGTACACAAATAAACTTCTTTTATATAAATAGCTAACACTAATAAATGTGATTTTCTACTAAAAAAACTTAATTATAAAAATGGCTCTTGTGTGTTTCTATAATTTTCAAAGTCTGAATTAAAAAAAAAAAATGTTTGATTTTATAATTAAAATTTATATTTTATACCTAGGAGGTGATTGTGTATATAATCACATCCTAATTTTGTAATTAGAATCTATTTTTGATAATCATATTATCAAAATAGATTAAGGTTTTGTTTGGAGCAGCTGCAACTTGTTGAATAATCTGTTGATAAACTGATTAAAAATAATTTGTTGATAAGCTAGGTGCGGTAACTATTACAAATTTTTATTTTTTTGAAAAAGCTAAATCGTAGCCAGAAAACCGCCACTGCACCTAAATAGGTGCAGTGTGAAAACGCTATTTTCAGCGTTTTGAAAACACATAAGCTGCCAAAACGCAATTTAACCAAACAAACCAGGTGCATTTTCAAAACACCACCGCACCAAATAAATTGCCCCAAATAGATCCTAAATAATTCTAAGCTAATTAATTATTTTCTAATGAAATATTAAAGCAAATTTTCTTTCTCGACTAGTCGCTTATGCTTCGTTTGAGGACGTGGTGAAGTTCCGTAAAAAAAAATTTGTTTGGTGAAATAAAAAGAGATGAATGTCTTCCAAACTTATTCAACTCTAAATTTTCATCATTTCAGATCGAATTTGTTTGGGTCGAATTTTAGTCCTTGACCGGAGTGAAATTTGTAAGTCTTCCTTTTGTTTCTCTTAAACTACCTGCAAGTCTCCTGCAAGTATTTAGGGTTCCTTATTTTTCTTCCATTTTCTTACAAGAACTATTAACGTTAAGCCAATCTAGTATGTATTCAAAAGTAACAATCTTGACATCAAATCTTTGTGATTTGTAGAAACTTCAATCACTAAATATTATCAAGAGTTGTTCTGAGAGGTAGCCCTTCTCAAGAAAATTAGCTTTAGGTGCTACCAACTCCATATCTTAAAAATACTACAATATCCGTATGGGATAGAGGAAAAAACTTACAGTAATACAGACCCAAAATAGTAGAACTATCATTTAGTGATTCGATCCATTGTTAGGTAGTATCTGTCCCTCCTCTTAATGTCATATTCGATCACAAATGAGAAATTTTAAAATTTTATGCCTGGTTCACATATTCTATCTCCCTCATGGAATGCATCCCTCACATAACAAAAGTAATAATTACTATATATATCATTTTATCTAATATAATCACAAGAGATAATGTAAAATTTTCTCATTGACATAGAAAACAAGTTATGATTATAGTATTAAAAGCATTAAGTAATCATAAATTTAATAGTTTAAGAATAAAATTAAGATCCATTCATTTCATCAATTGAATTTCCACACTCATAAATAGAATCACTTAGGTTTGGCAGAATCTGAATCCTTTAAAATACTGACCACCTCCTTCAATGCATTGTGAGAAGATCCCTGCTTCCCCTCAGCAATAGCTGCCTCTGTCTTCATCTCCCTCATCTTCTGTCTCACCACCTTCCCTTCCTCACCTTCCATCAACATCTTCACCACCTTCGCTATCTCCTCCCTCCCCACCGTTCCATCTTCCCCTACATTCACCCTCAGTGCCACCTTCACCCCATCCACAAGCAATACTGCATTCATCCTCTGCTCCGAGTAAAGAGGCCATGCCGCCATTGGCACACCATTCATCAAGCTCTCTAGTGTGGAGTTCCACCCACAGTGCGACACAAACCCACCGACCGCAAAATGACTCAACACCTCTCGTTGTGGCGCCCATGATCTCACCACCATCCCCCTCCCCTTTATCCTCTCTACAAATCCTTTGGGCAGAAACCTCAATGGATCATCATCTTCATCTTCTCCATGATTTGGGTTAAGAAAACTATCACTTGAACCAATGTCGCTCACCCCACGCACCACCCACAGGAATCTCTGCCCGCTCATCTCCAATCCAATGGCAAGCTCTCTTGTCTGCTGCCATGAGAGAGCACCACCACTGCCAAAACAGAGGAAAACGACAGACCCGCTGGACTGTTTATCCAACCATTCAATGCATTCATGTGACGGCTTTTCAGAACCCACATTTGAATCAGACCATATAAGCGGTCCGATAGGCCAAACCGGAGGTGTTCCACCACCCCTCTGTTAAAAACAGGAAGGGAAATTAGCTGCAGTTGCTAAAAAAAAAAAACAAATCTTTAATCAAAACTCACATTTTTCAGAAACATGGCGGCGCCGGGTTCCAGAGCTTCGAAGCTGTTCACTAGAATTCCATCGAAAAGATCAAAGTGCCTTGCTCGATGAATCACCCCAGCACAAACCTCGCTGTTCCTCTCCTGTAAGGGCTCCAGAAAATCCTTACCTTTCAAGGGAACACAGCCTGGGAGATTCAATGGCTCCGGCAGGTCTCTGAACTCCCCGGCGGTGGTGGTGGCTGCGAGAGCTGGGAGGTGGAGCATGAAGGAGAGGTAGAAGAGGTTGGAGGTTATAAGAAGGTAGGTCGGAATGCCGCTCTTTCACCATGGAAAGGAAGTAGATTCCGAAGAGGTCGAAGAAGACGGCAGCGAGGCGGGTGGTTCGTGTAACAGAGATGAGGATTTCGCGCAGAAAAGGGATGGAGTGAGTCATGGCGAGGCATATGCGGGTGACGAAGTGGGTGTGGGGAGGGAGGCTGTGGGGGGGAAGGAGGGGGAGTTGGAGGGTGGAGATGGAAGAGGGGAGAGAGCAGGTGGGGAGGTCGGAGAAGGTGACGATAGTGGCGGTAAAGTGGTGGCGGAGAACGAGAAGCTTCGTCAGCTCGGCGAGAGGGGTGACGTGGCCGATGCCAGGGCTTGAGACGACGACGATGTGGGGAGATGGGGGGGTATCCGCCATGGCCGGCAGCCGGCCTTGTTCTGTTCCGTGCAGAAAGCGTATGGGGGCCTCGGTGTGGATTTTTTCTCAGAAAAATGTGTGCTTCGAACGAGACTTGGGTGGAAATATTATGTTGAAGTCAATGTAAATATGGCTCTTATTATTTTTTTTTTTAATTTTTATCCTTATTTCATCTAACGGTCGACTTGATCCGTCCTTTGGGCATTAGAGCGTCATTTTTACCATAAAAAATAATACTAAAAAAATTTGAAAGTAAAATAAGAACATTGAACGGGTCAACTTGTAGGATTTATATATAAAATTTTTTTGCTTTGCAAAAAATAGGGAAGAAATCTTTAGTGTTGCCGAAGCTTAAGAAGAAATTGTTGTCATTGCCAAAACTTAAGAACTTTGAAGATGAAAAACAACCAGAGCGATAACTTAAATTACCCTGATGTCATATATGCATCTCTTTTTGGTGATGAAATCATAAACTTGAACTCAATGATAAATTTGAAACGAAATTTCATTCATATCGCTAATATGTGAGCTTTATTTTTTTATTAATTGGAGCAATTTAATGCATATAATATTCAATAATCTATATTCGAAAGGGATTATCTTGATTGTGTGCTAGCGAACGAGTTTTTTTTTTTAAATTTTTGCTTATGTTTGTTGATAGAATTGGCTAATTTTATTCTGCAAAATCGTGTTGTATTGTTGTATTAGTTATGTTGATTTATCTCAGTCCAAGAGTTACAACACACTTGTACCGAAGGAAACGAGTTAATATAGTGTCTCTTCTAATCACATATGAATCAACATCATCATTCAAATTTTATGGCTATTACAAACAAATTATTTTTCAACTAAAAGAACTCAACCACAGGACATAATACCTGAAGGCAAAATAAGTAGATACATGCATAGATAGATCACAAATACCTCTTTCAATTGTGCAAAAGACTAGGCAAAATTATGGGGGATTTACATACACGCCATACAATTCTTATATATTTACAAATACACCTATACTTTGATGTTTACATACATATCACTCAAATTTTTAACATCACATAAAAAATTACACTCAACTTAAATTTGATCTAAAATAATCACCAATCATCAGCATTATTTAATTCAACAAAAAATTTCCTCAAATTCAAAAATGATTAACTCTAAAACTATTTAAGATCATATTTAAGAAAGTCAAAAGACTTATAAACCTAATAATTTACATAACTCATACAAGAATATCTCCTTCATCAACCAGTATCTTCATTATCAATTCATTCCAAGTATCAATAGGGCCAGGCAAGCACCAATGAAGACAATCATTCTGAACTGGAGCTTTCTTCCCCTTAGCAAAGGGGTGGAAGGTCCTATAAGGCCCTGGATGCCCATCTGGCCTCAGCAGAGACAGATAGAATGTGTCGAGCAGTCTCAATCCTCGAGTCCCCTTCTTCTTCCTCCGTTCCCCCCGAGCCTTCTCGAACTCCTCCACCTCAATAGCTCTCATTTCATGGTCCACAGGCTTGCCACTGTAGTCTCCTTCTTCATAGGGGCTTCTTCTGTTGCACACTCCTCCACTGAACCACTCTCCATGCTCAAAGTGGTCTGGAGTCCATGTTCTGAAAAAGACTAGAGGCTTGTGTTCCGACGAGGCCACGAAATCATAGCACATCTGGAGAGCTTTTCTGTATGGGTAATCAAAGCCCAGCTCTTTCAGGTTATCGTCGCCGCAGTTGTGACAGCCAACGACTGAACTGTTCTCCCACATGATCATTGTTTTGAGAAACCATTGCCCGCCAGAGAAGATGACGTAGTCGTATTTGTCGTATTGGCCCGTCCATTTTTGCTCAAGAATGTCGAGATGAAGTTGGATGGGAGCTTTGGATTTCCCGTCGTCATCCTCAAAGGTCTCGGATTTGATCATGAATGGAGACCAGATGACTGCTATGGTTAAGTTGTGATTGACAAAGTACCATGTTCTGGATTTGTATGCCTTGTCATGGTAGACCTCAACAGGCTCTTCAATCTAACAAGAGTAGTTAATTTTATCTCAAGATGATTTTAAATCCATAATAGTGTTTGGTTCTTTAGTAAATAAGAAGTTAAGGAGGCCTTAAAGAAAACAAAGGGTGGAAAGTTTGTAGGACGTGATGATATCCCAATTGAAGTGTGGAAATATTTGGGAGATTTGGGAGTTTCTTGGCTTACTAAACTCTTTAATATTATTTTAAAAACTAAAAGATGTCTGAGGAGTGGAGGAAGAGTATTTTGGTCCCCATTTTTAAGAATAAAAGGGATGCACAAGAGTGTGCAAATTATAGAGGAATTAAGTTGATGTGTCATACTTTAAAATTATGGGAGAGGGTAATTAAACATAGGTTAAAACGCATCACAAAAATTTCTCATAATCAATTTGGATTTATGTCGGGCAGGTCTACTATGGAAGCTATACATTTATTGAGAGGTTTGATGGAGAAGTTCAAATATAATAAGGAGAATCTACATTTGATTTTTATTGATTTAGAAAAAACTTACAATAAGGTTCCAAGAGATATCCTTCGGAGAGTTCTCGAGAAGAAAGGTGTTGATATGACTTATATTTAAGTCATTAAAGATATGTATACTAGAGTTGTTACTTGTGTTCAAACTGAAGGAGGATTGACAAAATATTTTTCTATTTCTGTTGGATTACATCAAAATCGGCTTTAAGCTCATATCTTTTTGCTTTAGTTATGGATGGTCTTACTGGACATCTACAGGAGGATGTACCTTGGTGTATGTTTTTTGCTGATGATATCCTTCTCGTAAATAAAACGAGAGATAAAGCCCAGGAAAACCTTGAATTATGGAGGTCTACATTGGAGTCTAAAGTCCTTCATTTGTGACAAAAGTGTGACTTTGGGTGATCAAATTATTAAAAGGTGTGAACGATTTAGATATATTGGGTCCGTTGTTCAAAGTGATGGTGATATAGATAGAGATGTTAATAGTAGAATTCAAGTTGGTTGATTGAAGTGGGGGAATGCTTCGGGCCTTTTGTGTGATAAAAAAGTACCGCTTAGACTGAAAGGAAAATTTTACAAGACGGTGGTGAGACCTACAATGCTCTATGGTGCTGAATGTTGGCCTTTAAAAGAGAAGCATAATAATAAGTTAAGTGTTGCCGAGATGAGAATGATTAGGTGGATGAGTGAGAGACAAAATGCGAAATGAATATATTCGTGATAGGGTTGGTGTAGCTCCCATGACAGACAAAATTAGAGAAAGTCGTCTTAGATGGTTTGGTCACATTAAACGTCGATTATCTGATGATCCGATTAAAAGAGTAGATGTTTTAGATTCGACTTGTGTTAAGAAAGGCAAAGGTAGACCTAGGAAGACTTGGGCTTATTGTATTAAAAATAATCTTAATTTACTATAACTAAATGAAAATATGACACTAAATAGGACACAATGGAGAAAAAAGATTCATGTAGCCGACCCCACGTAGTGGGATTAAGGCTTTGTTATTGTTGTTGTAATAGTGTGATTCTGTTAAAGTTAAATCCAATTAAAGTTGTTTGTCGTGTTTTCTTCCTAAACTGAATCTGTTAAATCCATCTAATGAGTGGGTTTACAGGGCTTTGGATAACATAGTTTTAATAGGATTTAGCCAATAATGTAAATCCAACCAAACATGAAAAAAATAAAAATTAAGTCCAACGCTCCATTAAATCCAATTTTTTCAGGTTCCATCTTTTCTTCCTGCATCCCGTCTCTTTTATGACGTAAACCAAAATTTACTAAATCCGACCACAAGGCAGATTTAATAATTTCTTCCGCCGTGCCAATAGCGCCATCTCCGTCAATATAAATCCAGAGTTATCGGATTTACTAAATCCTATTTAACGTAAATATGAATTGCAACCAAACACCCCCTTAGTAAATCTGAATTTTCGTCGAAAAGGAGACGGAACGGAAACAAAATTGGATTTAGCTACACTATTTTTCACGTTTGGCTAGATTTACATTAAATTTAGACGTAAATCCTATTAAAGGGCACTGCTAAACATCCTCTAAAAGATCATAGGCATCCTCTAAAAGATCATAGGCAAACTCGAAGATGCTACATTTAATTAAAAAAAACCATAGTAATACAACTAGAGGTCTTCAATAGTTCCAAATATGAATAACAAATGCTCAACAACTAACAGGTCAGTAACAAATGTGAAAAAGAAGAATAAGTTCGCAGAATTAAATCAAAAGTCGCAATGTAATTTATTTATTTCAACCAATATCCATTAAAATCACCTTGGAGAGAAGGCAAAGCAGCGACTGGATGTGGTTTCTGAAAATTGAATCACCAATGAATGCCCATGATTTATTTTTCATGGCTTTGATAAATTTAAATGGATCGAAAGGTGGTAACTCGCAGCCAAACGGTTTCCATCGCCAGTACAGAAAGTCGGTATCGGGACGACCATTCCTCATACAATTTTGCGGAGCTTCGATCAAATTGCAGCTGTTGTTGGTGTAAATGGGACCATAAGGATCACATATCCATTCCCCAGAAAATAGGTCGCACTGACCTGTATTGACAGAACACAAATATTTCGATCAAATAAGCCCAAAATTCAAATTCTTAAAGGAGGCATGAAATGTAGAAAGTATATTACATGGTAAACTTAAAAAATTGGGGCATATAGATACATATCACACAATTCTACTTCACCTACTACATATCCAACACCTACACATTGATATTTATATGCATACCATTCAAATCTTTAATGCCACGGAAATAACATCACAATTACTATTTTTTCAAAGTGAAATACGCACTTTCATGGCGCATATTTTTGACACCAAAGGTGTTAACAAGGTAAATATCAATGTTTTGGTGTTAGATACATAAACACATAAGAATTGTGTGGTATGCATGCAAATTTCTAAATATTTTCTAAGCTCATTTTGAAGAAAACTTGGCAGCTTTTGTGAAAAAATGGTCAAAACTTTATTACAATATATCCTATCATGAAATAAAAACTCTCCATATTTGTCAGGATGTAGGCACAAATTGAATCAAATCAATGAGAACAAATACAAAGAAGATAAACTCGTGAAATTCTAATAAGATAGCAGATTGCTTAATATCTTGTATTAGATTAATGAGAGTAACTAGTTAATGATGATTAGTTGTCTTGTATTCTAAAAATAGTTCCATCCGAAGCACGAAAAAAAAAAAAATTGTACGCTTCTCTCTCTATTGTTATGTTTCTTCTTCTCCTACTCTTCCTAATTTCTGGAATTACTGTATTATTCTCAATCTAGGTTTCTCTTCTCTACTCCTCTTCTACCTAATTTATGGAGTTATCGACACCCTCAAAATGCCGATTATCAAGATTTAAAAAATGGGATTGCATCAAATTCCCAGGAATTTAATTAAAATTTGCTCAACTGATGATTTGTCATCGATACAAATTTTAGCATGATAATGATATGTTGGGAGAGATGCGGAAACCAATTCGAGAGATCCAAAATAAAACTTACTACAGAAACACACAAAACCAGAAAGTATATAAGATGCAACATTTAATGTGAAAAAATCCGAGAATGGGAAAAACTCACGAAGTATACCACACCAAGGAATTCACTATAAAAAAATGAGAAGAATTGCACAGATTACGCCACATTCAAGCCTCTCCACACTGTGAAACCCAAGCACACTTCTTCCTCTCACATTTACGTTAGAGAAATTGAAATCCCATCCTCAACACACGTCAAATCCTGTAGTGAATCCAAAATATTAAACCAAAATTGTTTGAATTTGGGTATTGATGTTGAGATGTCATGATAGGGGCCTACGACGCTCCAGCAGGCGTAGCAATGTCAAGTGCATGGGTTCCAAAACCTGGACAGGGAGTTATAGTGCCCCCTTTCGAAGGTGTTACTATTCCAAGTGTCAGGGCACTGCATAAGAATGTTATGTCGCCCAATACAAAAAATAATTTTTTTTAGGGCTGCGCCCCTAAACCCAATACAGGGGGTGCTCTCTACACCCCTCGACAAACTCACTATCAAACATTAATGCTGAAACTAAGAGCTCTGAGTGAACAATTAATCAGCACAATCAAGCCGTTCATATAAAAATCTCCCACTTGAAGACTCATTGAAATCAATTTTGCTTCTCCAAATCTGCAGAATCTTCATAAAAATGGATTGCAGTTTGGCTAGTCTCTGTTTCAACCTTCCAGAACTCCAACTAAAACCAAACATAGCTCAACTTCTCAACTGTTATAGTCTTAGTCAAGATATCTGCAGGATTCTAAATTATATTTATCTTCTCTAAAGATGACTGACAATCTTCTAGGAATGAATGAATAGAATAAAATCTTAGCTGAATATGCTTTGTTCTCGCATGGAATGTGTCGTTCTTTGCTTGATAAATGACACTCATACTGTCCCTATGAAGTTTTCCATTCTCTTGCTCCTTGCCAAGTCCTATCATAAAGCTTTATAACTAAATCATTTCTTTGTCAGCATCAGTGATAGCAATAGACTCAGCGTCTATAGTTAATAGTGCAACAATTTTCTATAGCTTCTAAATCCAATTCATTGTTTTATTCATCAAAGTAAAGATATAACATGTACTTCTTTTAACATTAATATATCATGCAATATCTAAATCTACATATTCCTATAAATTAATCCTTGCAATTCAAAAGCAACGTGCTTTGTTGTTGTTCCTCTTAAGTATCCAAAAATCCACATCATCATCTCACAATTTTGTTTCCCTTTGTTTCCCTAAAATACACGTGTACCTGTTGAAAACTCCAACTGCATGTGCAATATCTGGCATTATACATGTCATGCTTGATTTGTATAAGATTTTCTCAGCATATTCTTCTTAAGACAACTTCAATAAACATGTACTTTTATTCTTATTGATTACCACATCAACAATTCTCTTGGTTTGACCTAAATCTTTCATTCACGCTCCCTTAATAATTGCGCATTCAATTCTTGGTATTCTCCATATCTGCTCTTGCAATCGACATATCATCCACGTACAAAAAAAACACAATATAGAAATTATCAAAATGTTTAATGAAGCAATCATGATCAAATTGACACTTCGTGTACCCAGTATCTGACATAAATCAATCAAATCTCATGTACCACTATCTTGGTGCCTACTTCAGACCATAAAATCTCTTCTTCAATTTACAAACCATATCTTATTTTCTTGGAACATCATGTCCTTGTGATTGCATCATATATAAATATTCTTCTAAGCCGCCATGTAAGAAGACTATCTTCACATCAATTTGAAGCAAATGTAGATCTTTCTTTGCTATTAAGTTCAACACAACTCTGATAGTTATCATCTTCACTAAAAAAGAAAATATCTTCGCATAGTCAATTCCTTTCTTTTGTTGAAATCACTTCACAATAAGTTTCGTCTTGTAACGTTTGTTATTATATGAATCTTCTTTCAACCTGTAAACTCATTTGTTGTGCAGTCTTTCTCCTATATGGTAGTTCCACCAATTCTCATGTCTAATTTGGCATTAGCGACTATACCTCATCATTCATGGCAAACTAGCATTCATTTGATTCATTTACTTAAATAACCTCATCATAACACTCTAGTTCATTATCAGTGAGCAAAAAACATTACAATAATGGGGAATACCTATGTGTCAGTTGTGAGATTCTATTGAACCTTCTTACTTCGGTAATAAATGTTCGAGAAACTTGCTATTCTTCATCAGATTGAATACATTCCATTTCTTTATTTTTTTAACACTAGTGTTTTCTATCTCAACATATTTGGATAGGTCTATAGAAATAACTAGTGGACAATCCTGAATTATACAACTATTCTTGTATCTCTATTTTATTGAAAGTTATATTCATGGCCCTAATTAATTTTTTATTATGATAGTCTCATAATTTATAAGCAAATTCATCTGAGTTATACCCAATAAAAATGCATTTGATATATGTTGAATCAAGTTTATATTTGAATTTTGCATAAACATGAATATATGATGAATAACCAAGTACTTTCAAGTGAGATGGATTTACTTCTTTGTCATTTCAAGCTTCTTCAGATAAATCATCCTTTAAAGGTATCAATGGACCAAAATTTATCAGATAAACTGTAGTGTTTACTACTTCTGCGTAGAACTGCTTTGACATGCCTACACATTACCACATACTTCTAACACGTATTATGATATCTTTATTCATGTGCTCAGAAGCACCATTTTGTTGTGATGCTTTTAGAACAGGGAACTCATGTCTGATTTATTTTAAAGCACAATAACTCTCAAACCTCTAATCACAATACTTGCACTATTATTTGATATGAGACACTTCAACCTCAAACATTTCTAACTCTCAACCATAGATTTTTGCTTCTAAAACACGTCAAATATATCATATTTATGTTTCAAGAAATAAACTTATATACATTTCTGGTGTGATCATCAATGAAAATGACAAAATATTGAGAGTCTTCCATAAACTGAATTGGAGTATGATCACATACATCAGTATGTATTAACTCAAATTTTTTACTTCAACTTTCATCCACTTTAAAAAAAATAACATACTTTTGCTTGTTATAAACACAATCTTCAAATATATATATATATAGAGAGAGAGAGAGAGAGAGACTTTAAACCTTCAGGTTTGTTTTTAGAAAGTCGACATTTTGTATATTTTTCGATTCATATAGCTAAGTCTACGTTGTCAGAGACCTACATTAACTTTTGTTCCAGCTACTCCAATGGATTGTAATATTTCATTGATTGGATAAATAATGTCTTCAATATTGCATTGAGTCATCATCATTGTTCATTTAATCACTTTTCCTAAATCACTAGTGAAAGTAGTCACATACTCTAACTTCGTAAACTAACATATACAAATTAAATTTCTCTTCAAATATAGAACATGTCTAACTTCATTAATTTTCCAAGATGATCCATTTAGCAATCTCATATCAATATCATCCTTTCCAATAATATTGCAGACCTTATTATCTCTATAAAACACTTTCCCTGAATCTACTTGAGTGTTATTTTAAACACATTTTTGTCGGGACAAACATGAAAAGAGATACATGAATCTAATATCCATGATTCAGTATGTCAAGAAATAAAATAAGCCATATTGATTTCATTTGTGCAAAAATTTGTAGAGTTATCTATTTGGAACTCCACCGTCAGTCCTTTTTGGAGGTTTACAATCTCTTAAACTAACATTTCTTCCTACAATTCTAGCATTCAACTCTAAGTTTTTCTCTCCCTAGCCTAGACTCTTCTCTTCTAGCTTGAATCTTTCTCTGTCCGAATTTCTATTCAAATTCTTTCCTCTGGTATTAATATTCAAAGGAGAATTTGAAGTTTCACCGCCCATCTTCTTACGAATTTCTTCATTAAGCACTATTCCCACAATATTATCAAATTTTAAATTCATGTTTCTTGAAGAATTACTCACCGCAATAGCAAGTCAATCTCAACTATCTGGCAATAGAGATAAGAGTAACAATGTCATAACCTCATCATCAAACTTCATGTTAACAAAACACAACTAATTTGTCACAATTTTGAAGTTATTCAAGTGTTCAACCACTAAACTACCATCAACTATCTTCATATTAAATAATCTCTTTATCAAAAAAAATATTTGAAGATAAAGGCTTCTCATACATTGTTTCTAGTACAACAATAAGGTCAACCGTAGCCTTTCCATTCACAATATTAAAAGCAGTAGATGAGGAAATTAAAAGTCGAATTAAACACGAAGTTGTTCAGCCAAGAACTTTTCATTCTTCCAAAGCCATTGATCCAACTTGGTTATACCATCCAGTGAAAAATACAGTTTCATTTGATATAACAATTCTTTAATTGTAATTTTTTAGAAAGAAAAGTTTGAACCATTGAACTTCTCATCCTTGTACCTCTCTTCCTCGATCATTACTCCAACTTGAACCAAAAAACTTCAGAAAGCCCTCTATGATACCACATGTTGTGAGAGATGTGAAAACCAATTCAAGAGATTTGAAGCATAACTTAGATCAGAAGCGCAAAAAATCAGAAAATAAAGAGAACATGAGATTTAACATGGACAAATCGAGAACACAAAAAAAATACGGAGCCACACCACACCAAGAAATTCACTATGAAGAAATGAGGAAAATTGTATAAATTACACCACACTCAAGTCTATTCACACTTTGAAACTAAAGAACACTCCTTCCACTCACCCTTACGCAAGAGAAATCGAAATCCGTCCTCAAAGCGAGTTAAATCCTGTGTGAAGCCGAAACTTTAAACCTAAACTATTTGAAATCGGTTACTGGCATTGGGGCGCCACGATAGGGCGATGAGGTGCTCTAACAGGCATTGCCGTGTTGACCTCCATTCACTGCAATGTCAAGCGCTTGGGATCCAGAACCTGGATAGGGTGCTGCGACACCCCCTTCCAAGCGCTAGGGCACTACGGCGCCACATTTTGCGCTTTGTGGTGCTCAAACATAAAATAACATTTTTCTGAGTTTGTGTCCCAACCCAATACTAGAACTAAACCCTCGTACCTCCCGACAAACTCTCTGTCAAGCATGAACAGAGAAACTGAGGGCTCTAAGTGAACAATTGATCAATACAGTCAGACCCCACATAATAATAAGATAGTAGAGTTTTATAATCTAATCACTTAAGTAGATAACATAATGATGTCGCTCCCCTTTGTATTGAAAGAAAACTAAGAAACCAAAAAATATAGTAAAATATGGAAAACACTTTTAATTAAACATGGTTGAGTCAACGTGAAATGTCTCTTCGTAGCCACAACATAACAACTTTACAATTTGAAGTTCTATTAAAGCGAGGATGTAATATATATGTATATATATATATATATATATATATATAAGCATTGATGAACTTCAGCTAATACATGAATGTTCACAAAAGATACAAGCACTTCTTAATTTCTTCCCAATATAGCAACATTATGAAATGATTTTTTTAAAATTTCTTTCATCTTTATTTTTAAGGAACATAACCATAAACATTATACTTTAATCAAGCAAGTGAAGAACAGAAAATTGTAATAACTAACATAGTTTATGAGTAATAATTATTATTTCTTTGTCTCAAAGAGGAAATGTAGAACTTACAAGCTCATAAATGATTCAGACAAACTAACATGCTAGCAAATGTATGGATTGTTTGGATAGCAATTAAAATTTCAGCAAAATTAAATTAGCAAGAATTTTATATAGACTAAAACCCCCCTCCCCTCCCTCTCCTTTCTCTCTTTACAATAAAAAATAGAAGGAGGGCATTGACTTACATAGCACATAATTCTTATACATTTACATACAAAACTTTCATATTTAGATACATACCACTCAGATTTTTTAAATCACATAAAAAATACCACTTTTACTAACTCTTTAAAAGTGAAATACACAATTTCATGTATAGACTTTTAACACCATTGTCATAAAAGTAAATATCAAAATTTTAAGTGTTAGATATATAAATACATAAAAGTTGTGTGGTATGTATGTAAATTTCCCAAAAATAAATAAACTGTCTAAACAGCTTAATAGATCATTCATGGTGTGCTTAAACACTAAAAAATGGGAAACAAGCACAGAAGCATCCAAAGCCGAAGCTCTATATAAATAAAAAACCTAAAAATTTACCTATTTTCGTAAAATAATCTTAAAATATAAACTAAAACCCCACAAAACTCAGAACAGAGAAAGAATTATTCCCTAAATTCCCTCAAAACCACTTAAAATTCGCAGACTTGAAAAGGTTTCAAGAATCGAATAATAACAATTTGATATATTCGCAAGAATCAATCTATAAAAAAAGTATCCATACCTCCATGATTCCATCTATGATTAGCCGTAAATCTAGTAGACGAAGCAGGGCAGGAGCGGACGCCGGAGCCGGAGGAGTTCGGATAGAGGAGGAGGAAAGAGAGTCCGATGACAAGAACAGCAGCAAAGAGGATCAAAAGTAAGCGCGTTTTCTTCCTCGCCGAAGCAGGGCATTGAATCGCTTCCTTCCTATCTTCCTCGATCAACCTGTGTTCCTCCTCCGCCGACATTTCTTCTGCCCTTTGTTCACGGACAGGAGTAATGGAAGAAGATGAAGATGAACCCTGATTCTTTAGGCGGCGGAGTGAGGTCGCTTTAATGGCAGTACGAGAGAGAGAGAGACTGAAGACTGTTATATTACGTGCTTGCACCTAAGTTGGTGAACATTTAAGCCTCCGAAATTTAGAAAATATTTTTTTCAAATAAATTTTGAGAATGTATGAATAGACTTAAACTGACTTAAAAGGTCAATTTTTACTGTTTTTATTTATAAAAATATATACATAATGCTAACTAAATTTGAATAAGACGAGTTACGAGCAAATTTTGAGTTAGAACGGATGCACATGACTTTATTTGAGTCAGATCATGTCAATTTTGATCTTAAGTGAATCCAAATAATTCAATTTGAGCTAGCTCATTTCGATAGTGAGCGCGATCGAGCATGATTCAATTTCGAGTCGAATGAAGCACGAGCCTATTTCGAGCGGTACTAAATCTATTTCATCCGATTTAAAACCAACTCTAACTCGGATCGAAATCAGTTTGTTAACAACTCAGTGAACATATTACACCATTAGCTTATTTGGTTTCATATGCAGTCTCAAACTTAGGAGAAAATATTGCATACGCAGAATTGTGTACGCCAGAGATGTTATTTAGAGGGTATTGGGGGATTATATTCGCGTTATACCCCATGTAACCTTCTTGTAACTTACATGTAACGTTTTGTAACATACCTGTAACTTCTAATAAATTCGCTCTTCTGGTTACAGAGAAATTACAGGGGGTATAACACAGATATAACCCTCTAATATCCTCTTAATCACATCCCTGAGAATCTTGTAGCTCATTTGATGGGCGTGTGTTCGTTATTTGTATAATTAGATTTTTTTTTCAGCAATAGTCAAGTGTTGTAAGGTTTCTATTGTATTATTATATGCATAAAGGAGCAAGTTTTAATATTTTTATTAAATATATGAAAAATCAACCAGCCGAGCTCACGACTCCATGCAATGCGACACGTGTAACGCGTGTGAGCATGCATGTCAGGCTAAACAAAGTAAGCGAGCACGGGCAATAAAAACAATTCATAATACCAGATATACCATTCATTAAATGATCTGTCAATTTAAGTTTACATAGTATTTTATTGTAATAAAAATTTGCTTTTATTTTATTATTTAATTTTAGTTTACGCATGAGAATTTATTTATGAGTGCAATTTTTTATTTTTTTTTTATTTTGAGGCATTTACAGACATACCCCTCTAACTTTATGTATTTACAAATCATTATTATATGCAAATGTGAAGCCCTATGTTTAATTTAAACTGAATTTTAAAAAATAAAATATTTTAAATATAATACATTATTATTATTCTTCTTATTTTTCAACAAAGAGAGCTCCTTCTAAAACTATACTTGCATTGAGAGTCTATTTTGGGATGTCATGGTTGTTTAAAGAGGCATCATGAAGTTTTTGCAAAAGAATATGTTTAAGAAGTTATAGTGGCTATTGCAAATTTTTTCTTTTTATTTTTCAAAACATTAGACTGCGTCTTTCTTGCGAAATTTCTCACACCAACTACTTGAGAAAGCACACGAAAACACAAATTTGTCGGACACTTAGGGTGCGTTTGGGGTAGCTTGTGCTTTTAAGGATAAGTTGCTTATCGTTTCAGCTTAACCTGAAACACAGCCCACGGGCGGGCATCGGGGTTCGGCCCGCGGCTTGTTTTTAGTTAAAAAATCCAAACGAGATTTCGGATAAGATGACAAAACACGCAAACCAAACGGTACGACGGCGTTTTGAAAACGCCGCCCACACCTATAAGCTGGCCCAAACAGGCCCTTAAACAATGCGGTGCAGAAAGCATTGCACCTTTAGCTTTGCCCCAAACTCCCACTTAGTTTTATCATTTTGGAGTTTATTCATAAACCACTTTATTATGTGCACTTGTGTCCAATTATATCTCGTATTATTATAAAAATAACGGTTCCTAAGTGTTGTTTCCATTGAGGAGGCTTTATTATGTGTAGGGTTGTCAAAACAGCTCATTGATCGCGAACAATTCGTGTATGAATAGTTAAGATGGCAAACTCCCCCCGCAGGGCAGCTATTTTTGATTCACAGTCGTCAAACGAGCGAACAACTCCTGCACAGGATCCATAATCGAACCTTTACTTGTTCACCCGGAAGGTCTGTCGGCTTCGCTAGTGATTTGAACTCACCCGCCTGGTGATTCAAGCCCCAGGGGACGAAGATCTCCATGCCAATCGACCATGTTTAGAATTTACTGCGGGAAAAGAGTCGAGAGGCTAATGCCTCGTTGGAACATCAGGCTGCAAAAAAGCCCTGCACAGTAGGCCTGAAGATTAGCAACCATTGCGGGTCCGAACTCCGCGAAGACCTTTAGGGGTTCGCCCTCCTCACGACCCTCCGACCCAATTGACTCATCTACATCCAATACATTGTTACTGGGCTATTAAAAATAAAATAAAAAAAAAAACAAACAACTAGCAAAGGGGAATTCTCTCATAGCTAAAAATTTACATGTATCGGAGATGAACCGAGAAAAGTTATCTCTCCCATGCGACGAAGTGCCTTTGTCCTTCTCAGATAGAGGCTGCGGCTAGCTGGCAGTCGTCACTACCTCCGACTCCTTTTCTCCAACCTCAAGCTCCGCATTAGTTTGGTCTCGCCAACCCTCAGCGGTCGTGTTTGCATCAAGCTTAGACACCATGGTTTCCTGGTGAAACATTTTAGGCTACTATACCTCAACATCATCAAAAGAGTCGACCACGTCAATCGAAATAGGATCGATTTGTAACCTTTTTTTTTCTTCACAATTCTCTTCCTCTTTGCAGAAGGTGGATCCCAAAATCCGGACTTCACCAGCCTCTGAGAATCCACAACGATCCGACTCAAACCATCAGCCATAATGCTCCTTGCTTACCCGAGAATAAGCTAATGGTGAATGGTATAAGACTCAATCAAGCCTATTTATAAAGCGCACTAGCACGGAACCCCATAGGGAAGTTAAGTGTTTGTTTAGAAGTTTTCTTGTCTTTATCGTAGTTGTCAAGGAGCAAAGAAACTCGATGAACTAATTTGTATGCATCAAAATCATCAACCCGGATCTCAAAAGCAATCAAGCGATTAAGGACTATGGCCTGACAATCGAGGCATCAGGCTACATGAATATGATCTAAACCGATCATCCAAAGACCGATAGCTCAATTGGAGTCAACCAACGCACAATGACGAGGGACTTACTCGACAGACCACACTTATAGTCTCAGACAGTCATAAAATTTTCACGAGGGGTGTCCAACCTCAACCAGCTGACCGACCGACTTTTTTACTATGGCAGGTATGATCACCACTCAGCCAGTCGCCTCGACAATCAGTAGAACTCAAGCGCGTCGACTAGTCAATTAACTTGATATTTGAATTCAAATTGTAATACACATTATTTAACAAATCATCACGATTAAATTGTAATGGTTTCATATAATTATACAAATACACCCCTATAAATAAAGGGTCAAGAGGCGAATAAGGGACATCATCTTGTTTCTCGACAGTAATTTTTTTGAATCGTTCTTTCTCATTCTCCTTCTCTACTCCAACTCTCAATGAATGTTTTCACAAATGACAATTTAAAGCTTCAGAGTATAATAAAGTATTGAAAAAAATAGAATAATGTTTAATTAATAAAAGAATAAAAAATTATTAATTTTAAAATTATAAAAAAATATCAAAGATATTTAAATAATTACTTAATATTTTTTTCCGTTCATTAGTTCCAAATAAAATGACAAAATTGCTGGCTAATCAAAGTTAGTGTAAGCCAAAGCCGGCCGACCAATAAATACAAATTATTAAATATTTCTTAAATTAATAATTATGTTGATACCAGAGAAGTGCCCGTGGCTAATTTTTTTAATTACATATTTAAGCCGCCTTTTTCCTCTAATTGAATGATTATGATGCCTAATTTAAAGTTAATTTTATATTTTAACTATTATTTAGAAACTTTAATCCATTACTTCAACTAAGTAATTAGTAATTTTATTATATTGCATAAATAAAACCGTTATATTTGCTTATAATTGAATATATATAGCATTTATCTGCATACCACACAATCCTTATGTATTTACATATCAAACACCTAAACTTTCATATTTGCATATATATAACTCTCAAATCTATATTATTAAGCATAGTTTATGACAGTAGAGAGGTATAAATGTAAATATCAAATTTTACATTTTAGATATGTAAATAGAAAGGAGTTTTGTGGTATGTATGAAAATTTTCAGAATTTTAATTAATTCTTTCATGAACACTAAGTATTTACATTAAAGAGAAAAAAAATCATTAGAAAAAAGATTAGACGCCAACCCTCATTGATTAATTTGTATGGTCTGGTCACACAAAATTCCAACAAAATTTTCCAAAGGAAACAACATTAATTTCATTAAATTAATTATAACCACACATAAAGTATATATGCAATTTGACACATGGATTGATATATATATATATAAGAAATGGTCAAAGACTATTATACTAGCCTCCAACCACTCATATTCTGTCTAACAATTCGAGTACTACCTCCTTAAGGCCAACTGTGTCAGAGGGGATTCAAACCCGCGACCTAAGGGGCATTTTACCGTGGATATATATATATATATATATACACCACCAAATTTTCATCTTCAATCACATTTCGAGTCATGATACGAATCTCGAGGCAACCTTTTGATAAAAAAATATTCAAACTTCAATTAAGAATCATCCAGAACTCCGATTTAAGTAAACTTATAGTCAAACTGACCGGCTCGATGAGACGGACCAAATAATATAAAAACTAGTCCAATCTGAGTCAGATCAATCTCGGATCAAATCATTAAACCACTCTTGGAGGATTTTTGGAGGCATTTAGAAGGTCAAAGGAATGTTGAATATAGCAAGTTCATATTCGAATCGAGCGTCTCAATAAGATGAATCCAACAAGCCCAAGATTGCTCAATTCTGACATCGTTAAGACACTCAACTATCCATCAAACATCATCTGATCGAAGGAAACTCTCGGGATTGTCCG